TGACAGAAGCAGCTCTGGTCCTGGCTCTCCGAGGTTCTGCTCGGATGCTGCTCGCTGTGCTGCGTTTGGGCTTTGGTGTTTTGCTGAAACCAGCCCAGAACAAAGTTTCCCAACAACCACGCCAACAGCAAAACACCGAACGCTTGAAACGTTACTTTCCACATCACTCACTGCGCTATCAGCTTGGAAAGCACAAGAAAGTCAAACCTGGCGAGTAGTAGCTAGCTAACTATAGCAGCTTTAGGCTAGCTGGGATGTATCATCCGCAGCGTGTCGCCAAACCAACAGCCCGATCTCCAAGGAGTCTCGCGTGGATATTTAGACTCCTAGCTGCCCCACATAAACAGAGTCATGTTGTAAACATTTTTTACATGACTTACGAAGCGCTTTCAACCAGCCTCCACTTTATTTTCAAGGTAGCGCAAGAAAAATGACTTTTGCTTCCGGTTAAAAATTTCAAAATAAAATGCATAACTCGCTCTTGTAGCTATAACAGGTCGATCTCAATCGGAGCCAAAGCACGATCCTTTTTTTCCCTAAACAGTAAATTAATATAATATAAAAGAAACAATGGAAAACTTCTTAAAACCAGCTACACAAAAGACAGCATTGTCTTCCTGTGGGAGTTGTCGCCACTTTGCGTGCGTTTGGAGTTGTAGGGTGTGTCTCTGTTAGATTAATAGACTGGTTTTAACAAAGCGCTTTTCTACTCTGCCTGAGCTCTTACTTTATACAACAGGTCTCCTTCACACGCAAACATACAAGCAGGAAGTCTGACGCTTTGTATGTGGGGTGTAGCTCCGGAGGTAGAGCAGGTTACCTACTGATCGGAAGGTTGGTGTCGATCCTGGCTCCTCCAGTCTGCATGTCAAGTATCCTTGGGCAAGATACTGACCCCAAGTTGCTCTCCGATGCATCCATCGGAGTGTGAATGTGTGTGAATGCAGTTAGAAAGCACTAAGTGCAGAGAAAGTGCTTGTGAGAATGGGTGTGATAGGGTGGATGTGGCATGTTGTATAGAGCGCTTTGAGGACTTGAGTACTGATAAGAATCAGTCCATTTATGTAACATTCACACACACTCTGGAGCAGCTTGGGGTTCACTGACCTGCCCAAGGCCCAATGCAGGCCGGACTAGCCAGGGGTCAAACCACTAACATAATTAATCAGTAATGACTCTTTGGTCACTGTGTCATAGCTTACATTGGGTCTTGGTGCTTCCCCTCACATTTATCTGCCTTCTCTGCGCATCATGACTGGAACATTTTTCACAAGTGGATCCAAGCAACCAACATTTGGAGTTATTGAAACCCTATAAGACAGTGATTCTTAACCATGGGATCATGGCCATGTTTGGGCATTTCTGTAG